GACTAAATGCGAATACTCTGATATAAACTCTTTTAATGTTATTATTTTTTATTTATTTATTTACTTATTTAATTATGTACTTATAACATCGTTGTTTTTTCCAAATTCTTTTTTATCCATTATTGCAGCATTTGAAGCGCAATTATACGAATATCAAACGGCTATCGAACGGCTATCGAACAGCTATCAGACAGCTATCGGTTCACTGTAAACAGCTATCGAACAGCTATCAGACAGCTATCCATTCACTGTAAACAGCTATTGAACAGCTATAGAACCGCTATCGGTACACTATAAACAGCTATCGAACGGCTATCGAACAGCTATCGAACTGCTATAAACAGATATCAAGCAGCTATCGGTACATTGTATACAGTTACCAGTCTACTTTTGACTTATATCTACTAGTATTATATGGGTGATACGGATAACGGAAATAAAACGTATTTATTTATTTCAAAAATCTTACAATTATTCCTGGTGTTGCGACCACCAGTTGAATATTTTAAATATATTTTGCAAAGCACAATTCTTAGCGTGTCTTCCACACCGTATCGTATTACAAGCATCTATATTACTTAGGAATTCTACATCTTCGTAATCCGCAACTAGAGTTTCAACGATCGCATTATCGCAATCGAGTATATCGGATAGCCATTGTCGTTTTTCAAGTCCTTTTATATATACGAGAGCTTCATCGTCTTCTATTACAGCCTCTGTGATTAGACGTTTCGCCATGCTGTACGGGACCATCCCGTCTTCCCATCGCAATCCATGGTGATAAGCACTCAACCAGGAAGCGCAAGATTTGTCGGATCTTGTCAGTAAATTCCATGGCATAGGACATGAAAAAATGTAGTGTGTGATAACAGTTCCTCTTCTCAGCACCGCTACTTCCTTGACGATAAATTTCTTGTCTACGACGAATCCTTGTAGATCCACAAACGTTGGTATGATCATGACGAGCATTTATTCGAAACTGCACTCATGTCAGTGTTAATCTCTCTTAAATTGAAGATAATTGCTGACGATGCCATTTACATAATCTTGCGCACTACGTTGGACAGCGGGCAGTATTCGATAACACGATCATGTATGATGAGGCAATAGGCGGCAGTATTGACGGGTACATTCTTCTTGCAGTCAAACTCTATTCGCACATCCACGGTAGCGCTCTTGACGGATTCGTTTTGTCGCGAGCAGTCAATGACCGTAAACGGTCCTTTCTCGATAAACGAGAGTACATTGAGCAGCGTTTCAAAGCAGTCGATTCCGTAATATGCTTTACGAAAACGTGCGTACATATCAAACAGGAGAGCGTATCTCTTTTGGTCGAAATCGAGATACAAATCACCGTACGGATAAAACTCTGAATTGAGATAAAGCTTCACATTACTCAATTTACAATCATCAAACACGCTTGCATCTTGAGACATGATATTCTTTCGACCGGTCTGAAGAGCAAAAATAACGTAACGTGGCTTCTCGAGTTGAGTCGCCGTTTTGGCAGTCCATGAATGCTTCATCGTACTCTGTAACAGAGGATACTCGTATAGATCCCATGAGCGAAAACTCATACTGAGATAACGACCGCTTTCCAATGCTCGCAGCATTGATAGTTTATTGATCTCGTTTAGCATAACATGAGGCATCCGCCATTGCACTTTGATCAGTTCAACCTCCGATTCCGTCGCAGGATTTCCCAGTATACAATTGTTTTCGCTGCGCGCTCGTATCAAAATACGAGTTAACAATCACGCGTTTGTAATCCTCGCAAAAGCCCAACAGCATGTTAAGCGGTACGCAAAAGTTAAAGTAACCTTCCGTTATATCGGATCTAGAATCCCATCCAGCGTTCAACGCAATCAAAAACTTGCCATACGTCAGCGATACATAGTTCTTGAGGGTACTGGTAATCCCAACATTTCTGTTGCGATCAATCTCCACACTGTTGAGTTCATACCGAATTTCATCAAACATGAACGCTATGCAATTATTTCCAAGCGTTGTTGGCTGCTCTTCGTCCTTCTTCTTCACGGTCAATCTTCCTTCAATGTAGAGAAAACTTTCGCATGGCAACGTGTAAAATCCTGCTGCTGTATGGGTATTTGTATCTCGTCGCTATGTCCAAACGTCGTATTGGCGTATGAATTGTACGTATGAATTTCAAACTTGACGATGCGATCGTCAAAGATCGGCTCACCGACAATATTCAAGATATCAGCCATTTCGTACGATAAAACCCAACGACTTTAAAAATGCAACGATGGATGCACTGAGTCTTTTTCTAGATGAAATGTCTCCGTTAAAATCTCCCGTCTGTTTCGGTTGTTCATTCAGCACAAGCATCTCACGTTAGCGCCGTCGTCTTCGTACATGCAATCTAACGGTAATCTCCTCTCCACGAAAATCGAGCAATCGGCCGTCTTGATCCACCACGCGAATCGTCAGATCCGTAATGCTCCGTACGACGATCGGAAGGTAAATGATCTGCGTCGGCCTTTCCGATATCTTATATCCTGGTGGGACAATCGGCGAAAACTCATGTATCGTGTGAACGCACTTGTCGTTGCACCCGCGGTCACGTTGCACTCGATACGAATCTGGAGACACGGTAGTGTCTCGGCGCTAAGCCAAGCGCGCGACACTGCCGTTCCTCCTTTACGCGAATCTGACAAATTCGTGGGATTGAGATGATCAGACCTCAGTAACGGCTGAACCGATGAAGTTCTACATATGCTCAATCGACAGTAAATACTAAAATTGTATGATAAAAGTGCTTTCATTTTTTTTCTACGTGCTCTACGAGCGGAGATATCACGACGCAAAGTCTGGATCTGTGAATTTTTACGTTTCAATTTTAAGAAACGTCGTCATTGTCAACGTCGTCGACCAGAGAGAAATGTACGTCTCGTTTTTTCGATAATAGAGGGCCTTTGACTTTACGTGTTATCTCACTCTATCTATCATCTCACTCTATCTATCTATATCTAACCAACAGACCAGTGTTGCATGGTGTATCACATATGACGCGCGCGCGATTTTAACCTTACAATTAAAAATAAAATATTATTCAATATAATATAAAATTTTTATTAATAATATATGCTATTATATATATAAATATTAAAATTGAAATATTGAAATATGTTCGTCGTCGAGGAAATATAAGTGTCTACGTGATTGATTTCGAGGAAGTGAGTGTCTAGGTGTTCGCCGTCGAGGAAGTGAGTGTCTAGGTGTTCGGCGTCGACGAAATAAGTGTTTAGGTGTTCGCCGTAGAGGAAGTAGGTGTCTACGTGTTCGCCTTCGGGGAAGTGAATGTCTAGGTGTTCGTCGTCGAGGAAATGGGTGCCTGGGTGTTTGTTTGTTTGTAAGAAACGTCGTCGTCGTCGTCGTCATTGTTGCCAGTTACGAAGTGAGGAAATACATTCTGGAATTTTTGGCGCAAGAGATAAATGTGGTCGCGAGACGGGTATCTATAAATCACATCGATAGAGCATAGACGAACACGTAAGTGAAGTTAGAATAAATATCGACCGCTGCGATCTGTACGATCGATAAAGTCAGATAAAGAGCCTCGGCAATAACAAAGGATTGAGATTAGGAAATCTATCACATCGATGGCATAGAATATACGAACACGTAAGTGAGGTTAGATATTTTCATATATTAATATTGTTAGATATTTTCAGCTTTATTACACAAATTCTCTGCTGTAATTCAGCTGTAAGAATACAAAT